ATCGAAAATTCCAATTCCATATTTTCTATAGGATTAAGCGCCCTGACATTACTATATCGCGCTATGGTGTTGCAATCATCCATGATAAAAAGATTCTCTACCTTGTATGCCGTATGGAATTAAACACCATAACATTACCGAGGAGGATGCTGTGATCATTCCCAATGAAAAAGATTCGATTCTGCACTTTCTAACGCGATTAAACGTCGTAAGACTATATGCAAGAGTACTTCTAGTGAAAAGGATCTAGTTCTGTGTTTACTATGAAATTAAAAGCAAAGTTACTGCGATTACATACTTCCAATCGAAGATTTTTGCTATGTATAAAATTTCTTTTGTATTTGTGACAATATCTTTTTAGTATGTTTGATATTTATACAATACATTTTTAGCTTATGTTACTAGTTCAATTAAGGAAACAAAGACCATTTTCCATCTTCTTTATTTTCACTCCCATTATTCTTCATTTTTAAGGAACTTAATCTTTGAAATATATTTTTGGGAGTCAACGAGTGACTGTTTGCTAACCATACTTGGAAAGGATGCGCAATATGTCACGTAAAATACAAAGGCATGAGATAAAAGACAAGGAACGATGGATGTTTGTCTGATCGGGTGACAATGAGGCTGTCACGTAAACTTGAGAGTTGGATAATAAAATAAAATAGCTGAGTCGTAGCAGAACTATCAACTTTGGTTTTATTAAACTTTATGATGAATTCAGCAATCACAATGGAATACAGACTGAATTAACGCACATAAATCACAATTTACTCCAACAATTTTATGTAAAATCTAGTTACACTGATACGTTAAGTACGCGACCGGTCTAAGGGTAGAAACTCGGTAAAAGGTGTAGTCTTTTGTGACGATGTTGTGGGGGAAGAAAGCTAGGGGTGGGTGTGTCTAAGGCCACGAGATGAGCTGATTCGTTAAGGACAATTTTAGTTGGAAAAGTGGGGGCGATAGACATTGCCTTCGATTGGAGCATAAGATGGGATTAGGAAGCGTCTTAGCCGTCCATGAGAGAAAATTGCTAACGGAAAATACCGAACGTGAGAAAACTATCTTTCTGTATCTTCTCGTAGTAAACAAAATGTAAAGATTTTTTTTTTTTATTTATTTATTAAAATTACAATCAATTCTCGCGTTGAGAATAAAATGTAAAGATCACTGGAAATAGAAGAAAATGCTTGTTTTTGGCCCGAAGGACCTTAACTATAAAAATGCCAAGATTTATGGTGGGTCCTTAAAACTATCGAAGGTAAGGATGCGTAAACATCTGGATGCCATCTTGCCCTCGGTCTATGGCCTGGTCTATGTGGATTGAGATTTGGTTTGATGTTACAAGGCGCTTACCCTTGCCTTCGCAGGAGGGCCATTCCTTTCCGTGACCGCACAGTACGGCGAGCGAATGATATTATATCGAGTCGGATATCAGCTAAGCGTATTTGAAATAACAACAATGAAGTGCAGTTTAAATTGTATAATTATATAGAATATTGTAAAATGCATATTCCTTACAATCTTTTTAATCTTATTTCAATATCGTATGCATGACATTTTATAGGAAAAGAGTATAATTATTTAGAAAGTTACCGCCCTGTTGGATTTCGATCCGGCGGTAACATGCAAAGGAAAATATTTAAAAAGTTATTCCAATCCAAGATGGCGGCAGTTTTCTAAAGAAAATTAGACAGTTTTCTCTAGAAAGAAACGAAGAGAGAATGTTCAGTCGATTTACTAACATTATTTTAAGAAATGTGGATCTCGAAAGCTTCGCAAATTGTTCCTCCGTCTCTAGACTTACTGACCTCAGCAAGATAACGATACTTATCGTGGCACGAAGCGTACACCGCGTGAAACGATTTTTTGACAGAAAGAAAGAATCTCTCGTTCCTGGAGCAGCATGGACGGTACTCCGTAGTAAATTTGATTGTTCTGAGAGAAGGCGTTCGATTCATTTTGTGTAACATCGCAAGGAACAAATAAAATATCTTATTGTCTGAAGAATTTGCACGGCGAATGCTCGCTGATGAAACCTTCTCTCGAGCAGAAACCAGTTGTCTTCTGTAACAATACAATTATGACCTTAGAATCTACTCGCGAAAATATCCTGCAACCGATACTTATTACTTCACAAATAAATACCGTAAGCCCGCTTTCGATTATACTTTCTATTGTATTTTTAGATAGCATTGTTTAGACGTGAAACAGTTTATGAATGAAATACTTGAGTTTAGGTTTTTCATTATTTTATTTTATTTCGTTAAAAGATTTATGATCGCGTTATCGCAAACGTACAATTACGAAATATAGATTATATTTCTTACAAACTTGAGTACTAAATCTTACATAACTCTATAATAAATAATTAGATGTGCGTGTAACGTACATGTGATTTATACAAAAACGACAATTAAGTAAAAGTGATGCCACAAGTTTTCATGACACGCGAAGAAGAGAAAATTATTTCCAATAACTTTCTATGGATTCGTACACGATCGCTTGTGTAATTCCAAAGAAAATACATATACGATCTGATGTTAGGAATAATACATAATATCATGTTAAAGCTTACTTGACATGGTTGTCTCGTTATAAATGTATTATTGAAAATTTCTATCATCTGCAACAAAGCAAACATTTCCTATGATAAGGATAAAAAATTAGAATAGCGTAAAGCTGACGCAGCGTCAGATACTTAACACTGCAATGATAATGTATACATATATATGTAAATAAAAAAACCTTACCGTATCGTCAAAACTATGGCTATAATTATGATGTTTTACTAGCATTATACTTCATCCTTATAAATAAGGAGATTATAATAATAATAGTCCAAGGAGACACACTTACGTTTCATATTTGCAGTTTATATTTTAAATACATAATTACGGAAATAATTATTTTCGTATGACAAAGAAAGTGCTTAGGACTTAAGAAAGAGAAACATGTATCTGTACACGATAAAAAAATCTTTTGAATACAATGGGCTTCTTGGAAAATCAATAAAATATTGCGGTCGCGAATCTTCTGTAAGAGACGACGTTGGAACACTTATCTTAATACTAGCTTCTGCCTAGAAAAGAATACGTCTACAGCTCGAATGGATGTGCGAGTAGGAGAAATAAGCCGCCATTCCCACGGCTGAATGCTGCGACCACTTTCGCTATTATCCAACATTATCCATCGTATTACGAAACATGTAATAGGTACGTGTTTGTAAGATATTTTCAATCGGATGGTTCATTCGATTTACAATCTTCTTAAGTCATTAAACTATATATACACGTTCCTTCACCGTTTGCAAATTTCATTAACCGCCAATCGATCGAGGTAAGGTACATAAATGTGAAGAAGATAATAAAAAAATTCTCTTTTATTCTTTTCAGTATCTGTAAAATGCGTGTCACGTTTAATTCATCTATAAAGTTACCCAGCAGTCTTTAAATTAGATCGCAAACAAGATCGAAACGTCGATAAAATGCAATTTACTTTGGCAATTCACTTAATCTAAGCTTCTAAGGGAATGAAATAAATGGTATGAAATACATACATACGCGCAACGTTTCCATTCTTCCAAGCCATAAGACATCGGTAATTATCGTTGAAATCGACAGATAATGTTCCGATCTCGCAGTGGTCGTCACAGCAATGAAACGACGATAGTTTATCCCAAAGTTCTTTGACTGTTATAGCGTCGACTGGAATAAAATAGAATCCATTACCGTTTGCAGTTTTATACCAGAGTAAACTTCAGGAACGATATATACGTGCAATATAGGTACCTTTGGCGTAGTCGTACGCGTTTCGTTTCACCTGCGCCCTTAAACGCAAGAAACAATTCCGCCAGTTTTCTTAGCCCTCGTCGTAAACTGTAATAGCAGTATGTTTCAGCATGGTGCACCTGAACAGAACGGAAGACCGCGCCGTGCTCCGATCATCGTGAATCCAGCACCTGTTTCCGACACCTGACGCATCAAGCCTCGCTCCTCCACAGGAGATCACTAGTCCAACAAAGGAGATCATCATCAATTACCGTCCCCGCGGAAACATTGCCACGAAAGCACCTTGCCATTTTACTATTTCGCTCCTGGTTAACGCCTGAATCAATATCGTATCAGTGTTAAGCAAAACGCTAGTGGAAACCTGATGTTGACATTTGTATCGGCTCTCGGTTTTTAAACGGGATATGTCTCAGCTAAAAACCGATCGATACCTACACAGACACGTGACCAAGATGTCCATTGTAAATAGATTTCCTCAAGTAAAGGTTCTGCTCGATCAACAGGTGTCCCATTCTATTTTTGAAAAGGGCGTTGAGGAGGTTCGAAAAACAGATAAAATACGATGGTTTTATCGAGTCTTTGTTGCACGAATAGTATTTGAAATTACAATTACCTAGATTGATCATAAGTTCGTGCAACAATGACTTTTAAGTTCCTTAATTTTTCACTCAATAGATCTGTCTGTTTTACATTATATATACAAATATCAAAGAAGATATAATTTGAGAAGTTAAATTTGTTATTAGGAAAGTTAACCGTACAAACGTTAAAATATTTAAAAAGTATAATCATCTAAGTCGGCGGTTTCCAATCTTTATGCTACTACGCCTTCCCGAAAAAGAAACTTATTTAAATAGATATAATAATATAGACACGTTTTAAATAATAAAATCTTTATTACAAAAAAAACTGAAAACTACAATTAACACAATAATAACAAGATTTTCCTATATACGTGCGTACGATATGAAGTTTTATTTATTTGTAGATATTATGGTATGAAAATTTATATGTTATTAAAAAATTTTGATGCTTCGTTCGAAAGCGCTGGACTAGGTACATATGTAGGACTTACAATTAAAGTATTCGACACATCCTTTATGGTATGCAATCATTTACATTCATGTTAAACAGGTTGCATCTATGGGCGCAGAATGTCGTGAAGCGATGACGATAAGTGATGTGTGTGTAGATAGCACTTTTTAAACTGCTAACATCAACTGTTTTCTAAACACAATTTTATAGAAATATTAATAAATTCTTATAAAGAATTAAAATTCTTTTCTATAGTGTAATTTAACACATAATTTTATTATGTATAGCACATATCCGAGGATATTCTCCTTTCATAGGTTCAGTTAAATCAGACAGTTTTAACAAAGAAATTCTTTATTTATTGTGATGTCTAAATTAAAGTACAGAAACCATAAATTAATGTAATTATATTTTATTTATATTCATTATATATTTATAAGTATTATATTTTGGTTTCTATGTTTCTATTTTTATAGCTGTTATAGCTCCGTAATAACATACTATTGAAGTTTTTATGCTTATTATCCGAGGGTACCTGAAAATGAAAATATTTATTATAACCACTATACGTGTTGCTCAAAAATTAATTCATAAACTTTCTAGTTTTAATATTATACAATATCTAAAAAGTTAATTTTTTGTTAACAATGCGATTTTCCTGTCCATTTCGTATCTATCGTTTTTTCACAGTTGTATTTAAATGCTACAAAAACATTTTCCATTTTTTTCCGAGCAGTGAAAGTTACAGAAAAACACCATACATTAATTTAAAATTTATTTAGAACGATATTTTTGTAAATTGATAATTTGTATCCTATCAGGAATGATAATATTACACATTGCGTTATCTATCGAACTCACCACTTATGCCACCATCGCCATACTGTTTGTGTATCGCCATATTATAACAAGACACGTCGCATCTAGTCTGAATCTGTGGATATAAACAACCTGAACAATCAATTGGCCCTATTGGATTTCTTATATACTGTAAAAAAAATAAAAGTAATATTAAAATGAATTTTTAACACATTTGCTCTGATCGAATATGCGTCATGGCTATAAAATTACGATATTTAAACCAGGCTTACTTGATCGGTGCAAGGCCATTGATTAGTATATTGACATCCAAACGTTAGTAGAAAGACTAATCCTATAGAAGGCTGTGCTGTAATCTGCGGATAAGGTCGAGGAGGATTCCAATACGGAGGACATATGTGTGGAGGGCACGGGGGCTCATAACCACACGGAACTGGTGGTCGACACGTAGCTAATTAAACAAAGTACTCATAGTAATAACATAAGAATTTCATCTTTAAACTTAGATGTTTAACAAAACGATCGTTTACTTACGACAACACGTTCCACTTCCATTGCCAATAACGTTATGGATTTCGATATTTGTGGTGAAGTTAGTATTTCCTGAATGATTGCTGTTTTTACTAGTTTCGTTGCAATTTCCAGAAACGCACTCGTTTTCGTATTCTGTGATTATTTGAAGCTTATGCTTTGTTTTCTTCAAACAGTGACCACATTTCTTTTCACATGAATCTGCCACGCGTTCTGTCTGGCATTTCTTCACGCACGACTCCAAACAATTATGATCTTGATAAAATTCATAATAATATTTATTGATTTGAAATAATTTGGCAAAAATTCTGAATAAGAAGAATAGGAAAGAAAAATATAGACAGGATATCATATTGTTAGTACTTATATGACGAAGGAAAAATACTTCAGTCTATACTGTACACAGCACAAAAGTTGAAAACTTAGATTTGACAAAGCTAACTTCCCCTCGCTCAATCTCTTTTATTTAAATCTCAAATTAGAAAGGTTTGTCTTATTTCACAAAGCACACATTAAAACGTTACTACCTTTCTGTAGAATAAAGATTATTTTTTGCACTTGCATTTTTACATGATTAAAGAACATATTTTCAAGCAAATAAGAATCAGGGCTTGACACAAAATTAATATTTGTAACCAATAAGAGTCACTATTTTTTAAGCTCTCCCTTTATTAACAGAGATACCTAATAAAGAAAAAGATGAAACGTAAAAAAGAAATAAACAGATATCGGCATCGCTGTTTTATAATCAACTATCGATACAACTAAATTCCATTTTCATCAACCATCAACCAATTTGATCACTTTTATCGCCCCATAGAAAAGTCGTCTGATCTAACCGAAATCCCCATGTACGGGGTGATGTCTCTTTTGCCTCCGCAGGCATTTTATGTAGGTTCTGTAATCCGAGTGCTGACAATCAAGGAGAATCTTTTGTTCTTCCGACGTGGCTGCCTCTGTGACCGCGACCGGTGTACCGAGGGCGGAGTACACAAACACGGTGTAACCAACGAAAACGGCAATAAAGCAGAATGTTCGCGGCTGCATCGTGAGGTATTTTAACGAAATAGTCGTCTGCCACGACTCGACCGTCCTTTTATACTCATATTACTTGCTGTTAGGTAAACGACCTGCAACACCGTACCTAACCCCTCCATTAAAAACATAGATTTTTGCGCCGAAAAAAGGACGGCGTCGTACTCTTAGCCCTAAGCTAATATTTTAACGCGTAAATTTTTCACCACGGTTCTACCGTCATGACAAATTTGCACTGCTTATCGTGCATCGCCCCGCTGAAATCACTTCTCTGCTTCACTGGAGACGCGCACGAATCAAACAGAAAGCTTGGTCACTTCAGAAATAGTTTTTTCTTCGTATTCTCATTAATCTTTAATACAAAATTATAAATATATAATATTTTCAGATTTATTACGTTATTTTTTTTATATTTACACATCTATTTTTTTTTTATTATAGCAACTGTATTTCCAAATTTGTTCAACCACGCAAAATAATGAAGGAAATTTCTCATGCAAGATTAAACTTTAAAAACCCTTTACAGAATAGAACTTAGCTGAAAGAAAGTTTGAAATGCTTGGCATCACTTTTTAAACTGAAATTTAACGGACTATAATGTTTTATCCCACCGTTCTTCATTACCGACTTATGGTTTATAATCGATTCGAAATCAGATGCGATTATTTCTTAGAATGCAAATTAGAAAGTAATGTCATAGGCGCTAATCTGTTCATTCTTGCTAGGCAGGTGCACGATATGTGATTATACTTTACACGCATAATTGCATAAATATGGTGGAAACGGCAAACATTTGATAACAACCTCCTATTTACTCCTGATATGATTTTCGAGCGAGCAACGAAAGGAATTTCTTTGTCACAGATACCTAACGGTTCAAGGTGTGATAATAACACGTTTTGCATAACGTTCGTAGATAGTAAATATTTGTGTGATAACGTGCAGAAATTGTAAGTCAGAGGGTTAACTATGCATATATTACGGAATAAGTGTGGATATAGATACGCTTTCTAGAATGTTATAAACAGTGTTAGTACATGGATCGGGTAATATTTAGCTTATTCTTTTTTTCTCAAAGTCTTATAAAAGAGGCAGGATCGATAGTTTTAATCGTTTTCAATTTCCGCTGACAATGAGACCTACTACATTATTAAGTGTTGTTTTTACCTAAATTCAAATTAATAATTATATGCACACAATAGAAGTGTAAACTTATATATATTTTGTTAAAATTGGGAAGATACTTCTGTTTTTCATCACTTTTATAAAAATCGCGTTGTATGTTACATTTCTACCAATGCGCATGGAATTTACAGACCGTAAATCACAGACTGGTATGTGGTACTTCTTTTTTCTTTTTTTTTTTTATTATTTAATTTAAACTTTACAATTTATCCAGCTGAACATTTGGTAAATTTTTCTAACTTAATTGGTAAGTAACATGTGGATGGCTACCCCCCAGTGAGATACCATCTTCGAAATTGATTGATATATGTGGTACTCATTCTCATCGCGAGAATTGATTGTAATTTTAATAAATAATAAAAAAAAATATGTGGTACTTGTGTTTCTTTTTCACAGTACCTACCTAGGTTCGTAGTACATATTGTGGTAGGCCATTGACACATTTGTCAGATCTTGTAACGCTTTTATATATATTTTGTTTTTTTTTCTATTTATTTATTTATTAAAATTACAATCAATTCTCGCGTTGAGAATTTTCAATAATTTTTCTGGCGTGACGCAGTGACATGGCTGATTATTTATAATAAGTTAATACTTATTGTAGATAAGTATAATTTATAAGTAAGTATTATGAATAAGTAAATATTACTTAATTTAGACTTTTATGTATGTTATCGTTTCTTTTATTCATGTAAATTATCGGTACCTATAAAGCATAATAAGGTGAAAAAATTTTCAGTTTACACTGCATTCAGTTAATAGGTTAATTATTTATCAGAACCATTCACGTTTCTATAGACATGATTAAAATGGTTATTAGACTACAAAGGGTGATCTCTAATCTAATGAATGCACCGTGAAGATTTCTCTAGCGAGTAGTATCCACAAATGTCGCAAGAATCGTTTAATGAAAAAAAAGTAGGATGAATTTTGCAATTATTATCATCTAATGCAAAAAATATGTATTAGCGTTTGCAATAATTTAGGTCACGATCCCGTACTGCAGACACTGAAAATAATTTTAATCGTCGATCATACGGTACAAAGATGGCGATGGGAATAATAATGTACGCTTTTCCTAATCGAACGTACGATTTTATCGTAAACGCGGGAATTATTGACATTTTGTCATAAGTCAATGTGCGATTAACAAGAATGAAGAAAGTACAAAAACAAAATATAGAAACAACTAGAAACTAACGAACCGATAGTACATCTGTTCGATTTAATTTCTAACATGAGCACACAATCTCTATGGTACTGCATATTTTGAAAATAAAATTTTCACAATTAGTACTTTTTTAATCTATGTAAAAATGTAGTTACTGATTTCATGGAATATCTACCGAAATATGATATCGGTATAATGTGGAACTAATATATACCTATAACGTATATGGACCGTTTATTGTGACCTGAAAAGTTTAACATTACCAATAATGTTTAACCTCATTTTCTTAGTACCGTTCGATCACCGGAAGCACATCGTTATACGTGCCGATATTCTATATTCAACTTTGAGTAGCCTTACTTTGAACATCGGATTTTTGTTTTTAATGTATAAGATTTCAGCGCACGTTTTAGGAACATTTCACGAATTTTTTAAAACGAAGAAACTCTACAAAACTTAACACGATCAACGACTTCATCCCTACTGCTATGCAATTTTTATATCTATAAACGCTTAATTATAAGAGAACAACTTGGGCAACGTTTAGTTTCGCCCAATAACACTCTTATATATTTGACTACGCGTTTAATGGAAAAATATCGATTATATGATATATTTATCAATTTGAATTTACTCATTAATTCAATTTTACGATAAATTGAATAAAAATTGACTGAGACTTTCCTAAAAGTAATGCAGAAGAGGAGAATTCTACGAACACATGAAATTATCATATTTTCTACTGGAACTAAGTTTTTACTGCTTTCGATGTGTGCATTGCGTTTTCTCATTTTACTACAATTACTGTGTAGCATAAATTTTATTTCCACGAAAAATTAGAGCGTCATGGCTATATCGAGTAATACCTTTTTTTGTGAATACTATATGCGCAATACTACATGGAGCGCAATATATGCTTTAAAAATTGTTAAGATAAAACTCAACTGATCTACCAAAGAATACATATTTAGTAATAAATGTCTTAGTTTCTTCATTTCGATTCGGATTTCAGTAAAAAGATGAAGGATATATGTATTGATAACTGATGGAACTATGGTTCCAAAACTGATGATGGAAAGTGGAAGGGGATCGAGCCTCAGTTCCTATGACGTGAGCACAGCAGAAAAGTAACGGGCACCGTGGTAGCGAGCAACACGCTGCGCTTTCAACGCAATGGATTCTTACCGGACCAGCTAAATACCGGGTGTCTTAGAATTACAATTACTTGTCTCATGTACATTACTATGTTAACGAAGAAAATTGCAAAACGAAATTTTTACACTATGTGAAGCCTATGTGAACTATGTGAACTATGTATGTGTAAAAATGGTTTCTGAGAATCTTGAGAAAACTCCATGCAACTTTTTGAAAATATTATTTACGCTATGTATCTAATCGCAATTAATATTATAATCTTTTGCTATTGATAATTATACGTATCAACTCTGTAAATATATATATAAGTACTAAATACGTACATATTACCTTTATCCCGCCATTTCTCTTAACCTAGGATCTCAATTGCGAACGGTAAAGTCGGACGTTTTATCGAATTTGTTATGGAAAATAAAGAAAATAGTCTATAAATTTCTGTAAAACGTTACATTTATTATTGGTGAAATAAAGGAGGAATGCTTACGTAAAGTAGGTGAAACGCATACTTTTGAAAAGCATGGAGGAAACTGGTGGGACACCGTGTAGAGAAGCGTGCGAAGTGGGGTGGCGCTGTCTCGTGTGAGCGGCGGCGTGC